CGAAACAAAACTTTGTACGCGTTCTTATAGAAACGAGAACCATTACAAAGAGATTTTTCAAAACATTTTCAAAGCCCACACCACAAGCACACTGTCAAAACAAAAGCAAGTGATCTAAACGAGTAACTAAGAGCCCATGGAAAACCATGGATGAAAAGGGTGCTAACACCTTCCCTTTTCATAATCTACCCCCCGAACCCGAGAAATAATCTCGAAAGGTCTTTCCTGTGCTTTTTCACCTTTCCTTTTGGATAAAAGAAAAGTCGGTGGCGACTCTTGCTATCCGCACAAATGCGATCAAACGCAAAACACCAAGTCAGTTCTCCCACCGTATCACACACATTTCCTTAAGCTAATAAAAGAAAGCTCTCGGAAGTTTAAACAAGTTGAAAAGTGAAGATTTGAGAATTTAGAACAAGTCTAATTTTAACTTGTTAAACAACAATCAAGACACTACCTAAACTAACAAAATGAAAAACAATAAAACATGTTTGTTTTACGTCGTAAGCTCGACATCCGTTATTTATACACATTGTTCCAAGTTGCTTCCGCCTGACTATTCATATCCAAAACACACAAGAAAACGTGAAAGGAACCAAACAAGTATACTATATTCACAAGTAAAGAAAACACATACAAATTCACAAGTATAGTAAACATATACAAGTATCAAAAACATGTAAAATTCAGAAGTAAACACAAACAAGTTCATGCATAATTTCTATACAACATATACATTAATTACAAAACTCAAAAACAAAAAAAACTATCACAATGCGAAATAATAAACACCAATCCCCGACAACGACGCCATTTTGCTGAAACGGTAAAGCGGTAAGCAAAAAGTAAGTATTCATTTACTAGGTGATATTTAAGTTATATTGTATCATGTCCACAGAGATTGGTGTATTGAATTGTTGTTTGATAGTTTCTTGCGTTTATGAGTTTGGGTTTGAATGGGTTGTTTGTAATGAAAGGTAAAATGTATTAATAGAAAATAAATTCATTCTTCAAAGGGGAAACTTATCAGGCATGCATATAATCCACTCCTCACAGACTTAAACTTATCGATCAGTTATACTCAACCTACAATACTCATCAATGTCATCACGTATCAAACACTACACCCATTATATCATCTCAGCGAAGATCTCTCAACCAACCTCAACAACAGAGAAGTCAATCATGCTACTCGCGTTGACGATCTCTCAGCACAACACAACCAGAACAGGGGCATTAATCAAGAAACCCAAGTGAATAATAGCACTAAATCTATCTCTAGAATCTAGGCTCTATTAGAAAATCATCCTAGATAAGAATTCGAGTAGTATATGTCTATAACAACTCAAATCCCTAACACAGAGCAAAAATCAAGGATAACAATCGACAAAGATTTGTAAAGCTAATTAAATATAACATCATGGGCGACAAATATACATGAGTTCAAAGTAAATACATATACAAAACCCAACAAATAAAGAATACACAAAGAAGAAGAGAAATGAACCATAAATCTCTTGATTTATCAGCATCGATCGAAGAGCAATCTACCCCAGATCATCCGTATGCAAGCTTCATAGTTGTTTTCTAAGCTAAACCTAAAAAAAATGTGGGTTGATTAATTTGGGAGCTAAAACTATCCCCAAAACCATAACCTTGCAAAATGAAATGAAAAGAAAATAAATACAAAATCTGATCTGACACTGTCGCCCGGCAAGCCAAATGCGTCGCCCAACGACAACCTTTATTTCTTTGACCCATTTTGCACCATGCATACAACTGGACACAAATATCTATCCTCGCTCGGCGAAGAGAAGCTTCGCCTGGCGACACGGTGCTTCCTCGCCCAACGAGCTGTTGGCAAGCCCAAAATGAGTAGCTACTAGAAAAAATGATCCATTCCTCTCGCTCCTCCGTCGCCCGACGAAACAGACGCGAAGGCTCCTCGCCAGAGCTTTGCCCGGCGAGGCACACCAGAACAACAACTTTTGTTGCTTCTTTATTCATGTGGCTTCCTTTCTTTGCTTTGTTCCTTTATTGCTTCAAAAAAATATGTCTTGGAGCTTTTATTCTTCTTGCTCCAACAATGCTCAAATACTTATAAAATAAATACAAAGCTATCAAACAATACACTATATACACAAAATCACAAATATATGCAAACTAGACAAATTTACCAGAAAGCGGACAATTATTCACAAATTAACAAAAACATTGATAAGTGCAACAAAAAGTATATAAAAAAATAAAGTACAATTTGCGTTTATCAGAAAGCACATCCAAGAGGAAGATTCCAACAATTAAGAGAAGCAATGGGAGTTAGAGAACATCATGTTAAAGAGGAGTGTTAAAATTAGTAATTACTATGTTGTTTCTACTTTGTTGACATTTTAAATCTGTAACCGAATTCTTAATTAGGATCCTTTTTCAATAGAGTCATTATTAGGGGTGACAAACGGGCATGCCCGCCCCGTTTAAATCTGTCTTGCAAAAACCCGCAAAAAAACAGGACGGAGCAGACATAGTTAAGGATGAGGGTCAAAAATCTAGATCCGCCCCACAAAAAAGTGAGTGCGGGGCGGGAAAAGCCAACGGACACTGCACCTTTTAAGCCTAAAAATACAAAATTTTATGCTAATAATCATGCCCGCAAAAGTCCACAAAAAAAACGGAACAGTCACATTAGAAGGTGAAAGCTTAAATTTTTAACCCGCCTCACACTAATGTCGCTAAAACGGGCATAGTAAACATACCTGACCTATTTTACTACCCTTAATTATTATAATGAACTTTTAATTTTCTATCAATTTTTAATTTAAAGTCTATATAACTGCATTGATAAAAATTGTAATCATATCAATAAAAAATCACTTTCAACAATTCTATAATCTAATTGAAGCATAAAGCGCTAAAGCAAGTTCTACATTTATCTTTGGAGAGTTGTTTGCTTTCACACATAAAGCTGCTATTTATCTACATCATAACCTATTGATTTTCATTGATACCCGTGAGATATCTTATCACTTTTTTAGTAGAATTAATATTTTTTTTATTCTTCTTATCAATTATTCTTTCCGTTCTTTTTTAATTGTCATAATTTGACATTTTATACATTTTTATAGAAAAATTATTATTATTATAATATCATATATCTGATGCACATATTTATATTTTTTTCGTTGACTTTTTTCCATTTTGCACTAAAGAAAATCAATGCACTGACTGTTTGAAAAAGGAGATATAATGAAGTTATCTTGAAATGGAAAAAATGCATTCACTCATAGAATCAACTCTGATATTTCTTCTTCAATCTCCAATCAAACATCTATTGTAAGAGTTTAAAACTGATTCTTTCTATTGATCTTCATTCATTCTTACTGCAGCCTAGTGATGTATCACTTCCAAACATAATATCTTCTACATTTGACATTTAAATTTACTTTTTTTTCTTTAAATGTCTTCTCTTGAAATGTTTCAAATATATTATCTTTGAATGTACTATTTTATTGATTTATGGATACCTATGAAATTAAGTGCATGTTGATACATTAAGTGCATCTTATTTTTCAATGTCAATCTAATATGTCTTTAATATTAAATTTTCTTTCTATGTCACATACAACTTTAACTAAATTATCATAATAAATAGATAAATTAAAATGTAAATATTTTAATTCATCCAAATACACTAGTCTTCTACTAATTATCTAAAATAAAATTAAAAACAAAAGAAAAATTAAACTAATCAAATATTCTTCCATAATTTTTTGATAAATTGGTTCCTTACACAAATAATCTCTCTGGAAATTAATTGAAGTGTTATATCCAAGAACAACAAGAATCTTTCTAGAACTTAATTGAAGTGTCATATCCAAGAAGTTGTTGAATGAGCAATTCTTTATGTCGAAGCAGCATGTTGTTTGATATAAGGTGTGTCGAAACTTAGTTTTGTTTAAGTGTGTCGAGTTCTGTCGAAGCAGTTGCTTCACACATATTTGATTTAGATCTAAAAAAGTTATTTTGAGTTTTTTCTATTGTGGGCATTTTAACTTAGGGAGCAAGCTAGCTCATTATAAATAGAGGGAGTAACCTCTATTTTATAACACATTGAATATTCACAGTTGCAAGTGAATAAGAAAATTTTTCACAGTTTGTAGACAGAGAAAAACTCTGCAAAAATCCTAAAGCGCTTTTCTTCTTTAAATTTGCGCTTTTCTTCTTTAAATTTTTCATTTAATTGTCATTGAGAGGTGATAACAATCTTGTTCATCAAGATTGATAGAAATTCATCATAGATTTTGGTGGATTTCCAACCGTTGGTATCAGGAGCTCCGTTGGATAACAATGAATCATCTGACAAGAATTTTCTAGCAAGTATTTCAATCTTAAAGCTGATAACTATGAGAATTAGTACAAGCAAATGAATGTTGTGTTTTGTTGTCAAGATCTTTGGGATCTTGTGAAATATGGATTATAATCGCTTGAAGAAGATGCTTCCAAAGAAGAGATGGAATACAAAGAATCAAAGAAGAAGAATTATAAAGCTCTCATTATAATTCATCAATGTCTGAGTCCAGACAATTTCAAAAAGGTTAATTATATAAAATCTGGAAAAGAAACTTGAGAGATTTTTAAGAATTTTTTTGGAGGTGCTAAAAAGGTGAAAGAGATGATATTACAAACTCACAAAAGAACGTATTGCTTCAGATGAAAGATAGCGAGAGCATATCTGATTTCACTACAAGAAAAATTCAATTTTGCGACACATGAATCAGAACCCTTCAATTCCTAAAATATTAAAAACCCTAAATTATCTCTCTAATCTCCCGTGAATTAATTCATCCAATATACCTTGATATTGATTCACATCAAACCTTTCTCTCAGCAAATCGATGGTTCGTCTCCGCCCACCGTCTCTGTGACGACATCGAATTTCTTCATCTGATGTTTCAGTGCTAAGAAGGAAGAAGGGTTGTCTACTAACCAAAAATTCAACACGTATGTTTTATTTTGGCAAACATGATGAGGTAAACTTGCTTATGCTTTCAATAATTTGATTTCTTTGATCATTTATTTGAATGTGTTTTTGTAAGTAGCCTCTACACCCTAGCTGATTGAGCATATGACATGAGTATTCTTTTACATTTTTAGAATTCTAAATTTCATTGCAGTGACGCTTGGTCTAAATTAATATAGATTTTGTTATGACTATCATTTTGTTGTATATACATATTTTCCTTGCATGTTTCTTTTTTTCTAATTAAATTACATACTTACAACACATGTTCGAGCCTGATTCCCCCGAAATTGATGAGCATATGAGAAAATATGAATGCTTATGAAAGTTGAGGAGTAGAAAATAGCTCAACCGAAAAAGCAGCCATAAGATGAAGCTCAAGTAAGTAGATGGAGTTAACATGTAGGACATTTTGCTTGAAAGAACTCATGTTAATCTTGAAATATAAATTTTGTACTCTTTTTGAAACAAGAAATTCATGTGAAAACTTAAATCATGAATTCTTAAATAATTGGAACCAAACTGTTTGCAAATTGCAAATAGAAGTTTTCTATTTTAACTTTCCTTCTTTATAATTTTTCTATGTGTTCATGTATGGTTTGGAGCTAACACATTTGCAACACTTAGATTGGCCAATCTAAGAACAAAGTAAAACTGATCATGGTAAGGACAATTTTCCTTAAAACAGTATAAAGCAAATTGTGTAAGGTTAAAGTATCATTCATCAATCTCATAATGCGTACAATGAAACTTTTCTCTTTTCATCAAAACCTATATGATATATGATAAAAATATGCTTAGCATTGTGATTTTAGGCATACAACTTCTCTCTTTTTGTTGCTAATGTTGTACAAATTTCTGGTCACTTGAATTTCGAATTGTTCATCTAAGTTTTGCAGAATGATACATGTCATTTATCTAGTTCCAAGGCCTTTGGACAGAAGCTGAAAACATGCATCCAGTGTCATTCAATTACTACTATTCATAAATTCTGATCCAGCTAGAAGGCTTTGTTGTGGAGTTACACAGATCAACTTGATTAATTTTGGTTTATCCTCTTAGGTTAACTTTTACATGTTAAGATATTAAATAACTAAATTGTTTGTGTCACTGTAATTTGTATAGAAGAGGAATATGAATCCATTAATAAGTTGAGAAAGAACTTGGTCATTAAAGCATAACCAGTACCAAGTTTCTACTATGAGGTTTTCTATCAGTGTGTAAGAGGTAAGTCATTTCCAATTCTGCGTATAAGTTAGACTTGGTAGCCTATGTTGGGATAAATAATTCTCTACTGTGAGTAATCTATGTGAGACATTTGATTACAATACTTTTCCATTCTCTTCACACCACCTTCGAACCCTTGCAAACTACTTCACGGCTAATTCTCCTTGACACTCTTGCACCGATTTGTCGTATCGACACCGAAGTGTAGGTTTCTTTGTCTTTATGCATACATTTTATTGTGTTGTGGTTGATATTGATCCAATGAGAAGTTTTATGTTCAATATTAACATGAGAGGTTTGATTTTTTTACATAAATTACTCTAACGATATTGTCATGTTCTAGATATTATTTTAAGTTCCTAATTCTTTTTTTCCATGATCACTTAAGTTTTCATAATCTATTGGGTTATGAATGCGAAAGAAGGGGATCTTTCATTTGTTTTTAATTCTTCTTTCTCAACTCAAGATGGGTTTGGCTTCCGTTTTCAATTCTTAGTGTTTTCTTATCACTAATTAATTAATTAATTAAATATGATTTTAATTTTAGTGGATGCAAGACTGAAAACAAAACTCAAGCCATAATTAATTTGTTTACTAACTTTAATTAACTTGGATGTTCATATCTTCACTGTTATAGATGCATATTGGAGAAAAGCCTCTCAGTGGATAATCTCTTTATTTTTGTTCTAATATTCAAATACTTCAAAGTTCCAACATTGTATCAGGTGATGCATAAACCTTATTGTCAACGGTAAACTTTGAGCAGTTTAAACTTTTATGTTATTTTAATAAGTTATTATTGGTACTTCATATTGGACTAGATAGAATGCAAATAATTGAATAGTTTGCTTCCACTTCTTATTGAATTTACAAAATGGTGTACTTTCCTATGGTATTGCTGGTGTGGTGTGGTTGTTTTTCGCTTGACAATAATACTTCTTGGAACAGCCACCATTCAGGTGGGTTTTCAAGATGGATACATTTCTCATAATGTTTTTCATATTTTCTTTTTTTTTTCAATAAAATATCTCTACTTTTCATTGATAGTCATGTTTTCATTAATACTCTGATGTTTAGAGGTTTCAGGCAGTCAACCTTCTATTGGCGGAAATACTACTCTTCTCATCATTTAAGGTGACGATTCTCATTATTCAATATTTAAGTACTTCTTACTTGCTTGGTATAAGGCCTTCTACATTCATGTTTGTCAAGAAAACTTATGTACACCTATTATATGTTTAAGATATATTTTTTTTGTGGATGTTTTTTTTTTCATGTTGACAATTATAGTTTTGTTTTCAGAAGATGCTGCTAGTTTCATGTGTCATTTTTAACTTCTAGTTTCTAAACTAGCTATATTGATTACTTCGTACTTTCGTCGAAAATTTTGGCAGTTGATACCTAACATTCAAGTTTACTGCTGAAATTTTAGTTCAAAATTAATCATTTGATTTTAAATTATTATTGGTAACTTAAGTTATTATGAATGTCAAAATTGAGACTTCTGGTACATAAAAGATGTGAAGTTCTATTTTTTATGAAAAGTGTTAGGATGTGATTATCAATTTAAAGCAGTATATACCATGCAATCGTTGCTTTTGAAAACATAGTATTCTCTTACCACCATTGTTTCTATTCAAATTTTAAAGTGAAGTGGTCTTTATTCAAATTTTATCTACTTGAGTTTGAATTATACTGATTATCGAAGAACATAGCATTCTCTGACCACCACTGTTTCTATTATACTGATAATTAGATATGACTATGATCTTCCTGATTTTTTTCCATGTGAGTATAGTATAGAAGGTTTGGAAATATGGATCTGGTCTTGATTACAAGTTATATGAACTATCTTTATTGTAAATTGCAGGCATACCCTACTGTTAAATTTGCAGATGCAAGTCTTTCGACATTGAAAGGAGAAGTCGGAATCATTCATGTGCATATGTTGATTCACAGGTAGGAATTAAAAATCTGCTTTAAATTAAGATAATCTGAGATGCTCTTCCCTATCATAATTTTAATAGAATGTAGTATTGTGTGTTGTTGGGTTTTCTACTTAAAGTCGAAGCTCGAATAAGTATTTTTCAAAAGGACTAACAAAGTCTTTTGTTATAGGTGACTGAACTCCCATTCTTTGCATCAAAAGTATGACTTGGTCGTGATAGAGTTGAGGGATTTCTTCCTCTAGGTCCCTTAAATGATTATGAGAAGTATGCAGCAATTTATGGATATGAATAAGTTTTAGAGTCTGATATATTAGAAGCTCATTGTAATTCCATTCCATTAGTTTTTGTGACATTGTTATTGCGTTCCTGTATGATCAAAGTTCTGCATATGTTGAGTACTTGATTCAATTTGAGTTGTTTTATAATGTGGTTATAGATTGTAAATTAAATTGTATGAATATAGGAAAGAGATTTGTTTGAGTATGAGTTGTTTTGTGATGTGGTTATATAGTGTGATTTGTTTAATATCTATCTATGTTGCTTTGTATTAGATGTTTAATTATTTTTTTTAAAATTAATTAATTTAGCGGGGGTTATCCAAAGTCAATTTCAAATCGCCGTTATCAATAGTGTAAATGAAACATCAAATAAAATTCATGACGGTGAAAAAAATGTCGCTAGCTTACTTTAAAGGCGATTTAGAACCGTCATGCTTATCTACGACGGTTGGAACGACAATTTTCTAAACCTTCGCCAAAAGGGCCTGCAACACACGTTTCTGTGACAGTTGTGGAATCGTCGTAACCTGTATTTTGTGACGGTTAGAACCGCCGTAATCTTCCCAAAAAAGCGTCGCAACTTGCAAATTTTCTTACCGTGTTTCTTCACTAGGGTTACAAAACTAGTGAATCAAATCAAGGTTTATGGAGATACGTTAACAATAAGAGTTGTTGTTTCAAATATCTTGAGACCTTTAGCTCCGAAGTTCGACCATGTGGTAGTTGCCATAGAAGAGTCAAAGAACATGTCAATTTTTTCGAAGGAAAAGCTTTAAGGGACGCCTGAATCTCATGAACAAAGAATGACTGAGAGATCTGCAGACAAGTCAAAGAGTGATATGGCTTTGCAGGCACAGTTAGCAAGAAACAAGAAAGGAAAAGGAAAGTGGTTCACCAATAAAGGTAGAGGAGGCTATAACAATTCGAATGGTAGAGGAAACTAGCACGAAGAAAACATGTCGAATTAGAGAAGACCATACCAACGCAACCAAAGAGGTGGTGTTGCTAATAGAGGAAGAAGTGATGGTCGAAAACCTGACAAGAGTCATATTCAATTGTAAGAAGTATGGTCACTATTCTAGTGATTATTCATAAAAGCGAAATAATCAAGAAAGTGATGCAAAGCTTACAAAACGTGAAGAAGAAGCGATGAAGTTGATGGTCACAACAAGAGATGAAGAGAAATTCAAGGACCAATGGTACTTGGATTCAGGATGCTCATCACACATGTCTGGAAGGAAAATTTGGTTTGTCAACATAAAACTCTCAATAAAGAACATGGTGAAATTCACAAATGAAAATACTTTAGCAGCTGAAGGTATTAGTGATGTTCTGATTATAATGAAAGATTGAAAGAACTCAGTAATTTCAAATGTGTTGTACATATCAGGCATGAAGAGTAATTTGCTCAGTATAGGGCGGTTGGTCGAAAAGAACTATAAAGTGTTGATCAAAGACAAGATGATGAGAGTCATTGACGCAAGAAGAAGATTAAGCTTGAAAGCTCCAATGTCTCAAAATAGAACCTTCAAGATTAAACTAAATATGATGGAGCACAAGTACCTTTCGACTGTAGCTAGTAGGGATGAATGACTATGACACTATTGACTAGGCCATATCAACTTCAAAGACATCAGAGATTTGAAAAGAAGAAATATGGTTTAAGGGATACCAGAAGTCGACATTTCAAACGAGGTGTGTGAGGAATGTGTGCAGGCGAAGCTGCAGAAGAACAACTTTGACAAAGGTGCAGGAAGCAAGTCGAAGGTTATTCTTGAAATCATATACTCTAATGCATGTGGATTAATCCAGGTGGATTCGAATGGAGGTAACAAATACTTTGTTACATTTATAGATGATTTTAGTCGAAAAATGTGGACTTACCTGATCAAGTAGAAAAGTGAAGTGATCGAGGTATTTTCCAAGTTTAAATCTATGGTCGAAATACAAAGTAGTCAAAAGCTCAAAGTTTTGAGAACTGATGATGGTGGAGAATATGTGTCGAAAGACTTCGATACATTATCTGAGAAATAAGGGATTGTGCATGAGGTGGTGCTACTCTACACTCCATGGAAGAATGGAACTGTAGAAAGAAAGAATTGAACCATCATGAATATGGTGAGAAGTATGTAGAAATACAAGCATTTATCTAAAGAGTTTTAGGATGAAGTTGTGTCGACAATGACACACATTTTGAATAGATGTCCGATGAAGAAGCTAGAAGGAATTACTCCAAAAGAATGTTGGTCTGGCGTGAAGCCTAGCTTGAGCCATCTGAAGGTATTTGAATCTATTGCATATAGACATCTTCTAGCTTAGTTGAGATGAAAACTTGATGACAAGTCAAGTCATATGATCCTAGTAGGATATCATTCGACAGAAGGTTACAAGTTGTTCGACTCAATAAAAAAGCAGATTGTGATCAGCAGGGACGTGATCATATATGAGCTTAAGGAATGGGATTGGACAGAAAATGTCAAGAATGATTCAGTAAAAATCTTATTCAAAGAACCAGCACTTGAAGTCGAAAGAGAAGTTCGGCAAGAGGAAGTTATAGATAAACCAGAACCAAGCAGACCTCGGAGAACAAGACATGTGCCTGAAAGGTTGCAAGATTATGTTATTACATCATATGATGTGGTCAATAATGAAGATGAGCTGGTACATTATGCTTTATATACAGATGTCAAACTTATCAATGCAACTAAAGCATTGAAAGATTCTAAGTGGGTGAAAGCAATGAATGAATAAGTGAAGTCCATAAAAGACAATAACACTTGGTCACTTCTCAAATTGCCTCAAGGCGAGAAGAAAATCTATGTCAAGTGGGTATACAAGGTGAAGTTGAATCCCAAAGGGGAGGTAAATAGGCACAAGGCAAGGCTTGTAGCGAAAGGATTTCTTCAGAAAGAAGGAACCGACTTTGATGAGGTTTTTGAATTTGTTTGTAGAATCTAAACAATCAGGTTGGTTATTGGTCTAGCAGAAATTAACAGTTGGCAATGGACATGAAATATGCATTCTTGAATGGACCTTTAGACGGAGAAGTTTATGTTGCGCAATCAGTTGGATTTGTGAAGCATGGCAAAGAGAGAAAGGTGTACATGTTGCATAAAGCCCTATATTGATTGAAACAATCTCCAAGAGTTTGGAATAAGAAAATTAATATTTTTTTATGGGAGAAGGAATTTATGAAGTGCACAACTGAGCATGTAGTATATGTGAGAAGAAGCAAGAGTGACTTGCTTATACTATGTCTATATGTCGATGACTTGTTGATAACAGGTAGCTGCAAGAAGGAGATCGAAGACTTCAAAGGTGATCTCAGCAAGGAATTCAAAATGTTTGATATGGCTGACATTTCATATTTCCTTGCAATCAAATTCTATAAGAGTAGTAGAGGTTTGATGATGCATCGAAGAAGATATGCCGGAGAAATTCTCAAGAGATTTGAGATGGAAGAATGCAACTCGACTTCGACACCTGCAAAACCAAGACTGCAATTATCGAAAGATGCGGATGAAGATGATGTCGACCCAATATAATATAGAAGATTTATTGGGTCATTAAGATACCTTTGTCACACAAGGTCTAACTTAGCATACAATATAGGTATGGTAAGTAGATTCACGCAGAAGCCAAAGGTATCACATCTACCAATAACGAAGAGGATACTAAGGTATCTAAAAGGAACTTTTGACTATGGTATTTTATTTCCTACGGGTGATAAGGGAAAAGAATGCAAGTTAGTGGAGTACACTAATTCAAGTTAGTGTAGTGATGCGAGGATCTAAAATCCACAGCAAGATATGTGTTTATGCTAGGTGGTGCACTAATTTCTTGGAGTTCGAGAAAGGAATCAGTAGTGGCATTATCATCGTGTGAAGCAGAGTACATAGTTGCTTCTCTTTGTTCATGTCAAGCAACATGAATGGTGAACTTGATCGAAAAAATCACAGGAAAAGATCATAGAGCAATTACCATGAAGATCGACAAAATTCCAGTTATCAATATGGCGAAGAAACCGATAGCACATGGTCGAAGCAAGCACATCGAAATGAGTTTCCTTTATTTTCGCGAGCAAATAGCAGATGTGAAGTTGGACTTGAAACACTGCAGAAATGAGAATCAGATTGCAGACATCATGACGAAAGATGTGCAAGTCAAAATATTCAGATGGTGATAACAATCTTGTTTATCAAGATTGATATAATTTCATCATAAATTTTAGTAGATTTCGAACAGAAATCAATCAATTTGACTAATAAAATGACCGACTTTTGATTTAATACTATACCAAAGGAAATAAAATATGTGTTACTTTGATGATACTACTATTTTTTAAAACTTTTGATTTCATTGACTTAAAGACTTAAAATTTAAAGCTTCGTTTAAGAAAATTAGAGACCTTAGACTTAAGCCATCTTGAGAACAGGGTTTACAAACTTTCTTCTAAGTCATTGTCACTAATTTGCAATGTTCTTTTAATTCTTTGAAAGCAATTTAAAAAAAAAACAAAAAAATCACCTCTTCTAAAACGATTAAATCAAAATGCATTAATTGATACTAAAAAAACAATTAAAGCACAAGATATGGTGAAAGAATATTAGTATATATGTTAGGTCTCCACAAACCTAAATAAAAAATGTATTAATTCTCAAACATCATTATAATCCAAACAAATTATCAGTAGTGAATTCTAATGATGAGATCAAAATTAAAATCTTTCTTTTTGGATTTTGTTCATCAAGATAAGAATTTTTTGAATCAATGGTAAATTTTGATTAATTTAAAAACAAGTACCACAAGTCGATCAGATGGATTCAGCCCTTAAAAAAGACAATCAGATAAAGAAAACTAAAAATCTATTGCATCATCAATGTTGAAGGTTATTCTTGAAATCATATACTCTGATGTATGTGGACCAATCCAAGTGGATTCGAATGGAGGTAACAAATACTTTATTATATTTATAGATGATTTAAGTCGAAAATTATGGACTTACCTGATCAAGAAGAAAAGTGAAGTGATCGAGGTATTTGTCAAGTTTAAATCTATGGTCGAAATACAAAATGATCGAAAGCTCAAAGTTTTAAGAACTGATGGTGGTGGAGAGTATGTGTCGAAAGACTTCGATATATTATGTGAGAAAAAAGAGATTGTGCATGAGGTGGAGCCACCCTACACTCCACAGTTGAATGGAACTGCATAAAAAAGAATCGAATCATCATAAATATGGTGAGAAGTATGTTGAAAGACAAGCATTTACCTAAAGAGTTTTTGGGTAAAGTTGTGTCGACAGCGACATACATTTTAAACAGATGTTCGACGAAGAAGTTAAAAAGAATTACTCTAGAGAAATGTTGGTCTCGTGTGAAACCTAACTTAAATCATTTGAAAATATTTAAATTTATTACACATAGAGATCGGCCGGATCACATGCTTAAAAAACAGAAAACATCGCATATAATAATTTGAAAAAAATAAGTATTTTAATATATCATAATTGGTCTTTCCTTAAAAACTCATTTTCACCTTTTAATATGTAACACCACTTCTCTTAGAACGCAATATTAATCACATTTAAATTACAAATCTCAAACTCACTTTTCTCTTTAAACAATTTTGTTATTCTAAGTTAATTATTTAATTATGGATCAATCAATATAAAATTAATCCTAATTATATATAATATCAATAGATAACGTTTAAAATTAATAATATTAAAATGGTCGGTGTCAATAAATATGTATAATATATTTATGAATCATGCTAACATTTTCTTGACACATGTTAAATATATTATAATTAAAAATTTTAAATATAATTAAATATAATAAAATTATATTTAAAATTTTAAAATATTGAATATATGTGTTTCAATAAAATATTTTTACGAATAATTTATTAACTTGTATTATTGAGACTTTTTCCTATTTTTATTTAAGGTATGTAGAGCAATATCTGTCACTCATTATTGTCCTGTTTAGGGGTGGTAAAATAGATTGGATCCGCTGAATTGATTCGTTTGATCCGTTATTTTTGGTGGGTTGGACTGCAGTTTTTGACTCGATACCTTAAGTTGGCCCGCTCCGTCTAACCCGCTTAAAAAAGCGGGCTGAGACGGGGCGGATTTTCTCCGCGTGTTTTTTGTTAAAACTTTTACTATTTTTTATTAAGAGTTAAAACAACTTTAACTATAAAAACAACACTTATCTTTTAGGATTGTATTATAATCATTATACAAACAAATTGAATTATAATTGTAATGTTCTTTCTATAACTTTCTAATACACGAGTTGATTGAAAATGATTGAAATAAAATAATAAATGTATGACATGCATAATTATTAAGTTTTCAATATATTAGTTCAAATATTTTTTTTTTAGAAATAGATATTGATTTTAAGAAAATGAAGAATTTGATTAGTGTATACGTTTGACAAATTTAAAATTTAACCATTAAAGAATCGGTCAATATAAGAGTCTATATAATGTAAACAGTGGAAAATTCGGTGTTGATATTTTATGCATTACTATTTTATGCACTGTGATGTTTTATGTAATGTTATTGTTATCATTGATGGTTTTGCGTAAATTCTAAATTAGATTTTTTAGTAGTTAGTTTTTAAATAGGATTAGAGTTATATATATTATTTATTTATTTTGATATTTTTTATTGTGCTTGAATTTATTTTATTTTTTTGTTGTAATTGATTTTTATTTATTAAATTTTTTGAATTGTTTAAACTTAAGACATCTTAAAGTTTTATTATGTATTGTTAAAAAAATTTCTTTATCGACCTTTTTGATAATAATTAAAAAATTTCTAAATTATGCATTAAATTAAATTATAAAATTTAAAAAAATAAAAAATTAGCAGACCGACCTACCAATCCACCAACTCGTTAGTAAACGAGACAGATTTGACTTTTAAATTTAGATCTCTATGTTGATCCGTTCCGTCTCGCCCCACTTTTAAACAGACTTAAAAAAGACGAACGTAAATGAGCGGACCGTTCGCTTTGCCATCCCTAGTCCCACTGCACCAATTATTTTGGTCATGATCTCGTCTCTTACATAATCGTTTTATTAATCAACAATGACGATAATAGTCAATTATAAATATGTTTGTAACAGTTTTTCTAAATAAATAAATCATTTTATTATTTTTTTCATAATTTATTTCAAAGATGTTTCAAATGAAAAATTAATTAAAATAGAATCTCATAAAATTTATCTGAGATATTTTATTTTATTTTGCTATAATTTTTTTTTAAATGATAAATTTCAAAAAAATATTAATATTTAAAATTGTTTTTCTGATAAAAATTTGAAAAATGTCTTTTTAAAAAAATTATGTAATATTTTATAATTTTGAAAATTTTAATAATAAATATTTAAGTTACTTGAAATCAAAATTACTCTTTTAATTTATAGCAAACAAATTTAAATTATTTTTTTACTATTTTTAAAAAAGAATTCATAATTTTTTTTAAATATATACAAAAAATCATTTTTTCTTAACCTATAATAAACAAATTCAATATCTAAAGAAAACAAACTTTAAATTTGGTAAATGAATCCTGCTTTCTTTCTTTTTTTGGTGAATGATTTTCCTAACTTGTGAAATCTTTTATTTGATAAATACTCCTTACATAAGTTGTGATAAAGTCTAGATTCATAAAAATCTTATTTAGTAAACAATTTAGTATTTCTTGACCAAAAATAAATAAATATTAAAACTAAATTAAGATGATAGTTGTGGTGAGTGTGTAAGACTATATATAAAATCAATGAATTGTCAAGCTTTGCCACATGTCAACTATGGTTCACATATTCCCCCAAATATATCGGTTATTCACAGCTCGTTTGATAAAAATATAAAACAATTTATTTGGTTTTTGATTTCATGGCCTGCAATACAGCTCCATTGACTTGTGCGTGATTTATGCTTCCTTTTTTTATGTTCTTGTTAAATCTCCTAAACACAATTCTAATGTTTTCTCCTTCCAAAACAATTCCATATATGCTTTGTTCCCACAACTTCATTCTTCCATGAGCTTTCTGTAAGGTATGTTATCAAAACATGATCATCCTTATTTGTTTTTGTTTAATGTAATGCAATTGTAGTTTTTTTTCTCTTTCTGTTTGCTTGTTTTAAGAGGTTTAATTTTTTGTATCATGATACTTAATGGTTTTTTCTTTGTTGTTTTCCTTCTTTACTTTTCAAAAAGCAAAGGAACATAACTTTTTGTTTATAAATTAAAGTACTTATAGGTGATGACGATAATAATCATTTGATTAACAATTAGGAGTACTTTTATCTCTTACAACTCATTCAGACACAAATTTATGATGAATTTAGATGTTTTTCTATATATCAATATCTTGGGTTTAGATTCCCCAAAATGTGCCTTTCTTATCTTTGGGATGTTTTCTTTTTGTTCATAGCAATTTCTTTTTCTATGTTGCATACACATCATCACCACTTATTTTCAAGAACCAATAAGACATGTAGGCCCTATATAATACAAGAAGAAATAAAGTTAAAGAGGGAATGTGGTCCATAACATTGATGATCTTTTATAACAATTCCTTACATTCAAAATTTTGGTCACATTAGTAGGACAATTTTTATGAATGACATTCACAAATATAATTGAATTTCTTCAATGTCAAATTTGTTTTGTATATTGAATATATATACAATATCATATGTTTCCTCCAAGAAATTAATGTAAAGAAATTAGTCTCAATTATTAATGAAAAAATCAACAACTAATGACTGAATTTAGAAGAGTTAAATGTGCTAGCTGAGATAGATAGATAGATGTAAGCAATCAACTCATGGTTCAATCCATGACAATTGCATTTCTTAATATTTTCTCTTCATGTATTAATAAACAAGTAGATACTTATAAATCAACAATTTTTTTAACTTCTCGGTTGAGGTTAATTACTTTCTTTTTGCAGAGTGTAGGTTGCATCAAGAATTTCTTAGCTTAAATACCTAATTATATATGGCAACAAAACCTAAAGAGGGTGGTACACTTACTGGGAATGACAAGAAGAAGGTCCCGTCTTCTAGTTCTCTCCCTACACCGACCAAAAGGATCACAAAACCATCCACAACCAGCAAAAGTAACTCAACCACCCAACCCGAGAAAAACAAAAGTAACTCAACCACCTCATCAGAGAAAAACAGCTCAAGCTATCTAAAACCTACAACAAGTTTCAGACAGACCAAAACTGAGATTCCAATTAAACCTCCTCCAATAAGAAGAAGATCATTTGATAGACCACTCTCATCTTCAACCTTAACAACAAAAACAACACAACCCTCTCCTTCAAGACTACACAAAGCCCTTGTTTCCCCTGGACCTAGAGAAAGATCTGCTTCACTAAATACTCGATCTCCCGTTGTTCCAGTTAAAAGTGTCGCCCCTTTAAAACACATTTCAGAAAAGACACCAAGTGATGATGCAAAAAGTAAGCTAGTAGGGAAAAAGGCTGCAAAAAAGATCACCACCCCTAATAGCAATATTGCTAGTTCTAACACTGCAAAGAAGATCACCACCCCTAATAGTAATATTGCTAGTTCCAACACTGCAAAGAAGGTATCTAATGATCATGCTGCTTCTGTTAATCCTACAAAGATCAAATCTGTCGCTACAGATAAAGATTCATCAAATGTTGAAACTGAAGATGTTAAGGAAGTTAAAGAAGTTACAAACCAAGAAGTTGAGGTAATAAAAGTGGAGAATGAAGAACAAGCATCTCATGAGAATGTTTCATTAGATGTCAACTCTGAAATAGTACATGAGCATGAACATGAACATGATAATCAAGTTCTCGAGGATTCTGGCACACCTCAGAATCAAGTGGATGATGAGAAAGTCATTTCTACAGTTTCAGAAGAAGCAGAAAAGGAGTCACAGGAAGAGAAACATGAAGTTGAGCATGAAGAGGAAGATAATGAGAATCAACCAGAAGAAGATGATCATTCTGAGGTTGAAAGGAAAGAAGTTGTGAATGAAAATGAACAAAATGAAAGTGGGATTGTTACAGAAGATGAAAAAAATGAGAACAACGAAGAACCGGGAAGAGAAGAGAAGGAATCTGTTGAAGGAGGGGTAAGTGAAGAAGTTGAAGAAGTTGAAGAAAAAGCTAAGGCTGAGGTAGCGAAACCGAAGCAAGAAGTAGCAGGAGGGGGAAACGGGAAAAAGGAATCTCAAGTATCTAATGACATGATTGAGGAGACTGCAAGCAAGCTGTTGGGGAGGAAGAACAAGGTTCTTGCTTTGGCAGGAGCATTTCAAACAGTCATTGATCATCAAACCAAATGATCCATGCATATGCATGTCAAAGTGAGACTACTTTGCTGTCAGATGTAATTCATGTGAGACTATACTCTTGCCGAAGCGCATTATGGAATTAAAGGGAGCAGTTTTGGAGAGAAGTTAGAGTTATAATCATTTAATTGAAAATTCAACTGTTGAGCTTTAAAAAACATTGTTATATATGTGTACGTGTGTTGCAATTACAATTTCAACTATTGACTTTCCAATGAATGGTTATAACTTCTCATTTTCCTTCTAACTTTCTCAATTTAGAGAACATAATCTCAGGAATAGAAAAAAAAACCAACAGAGTAAAAGAACTTATTCTATTGTATACACAGCTTCATCATAGTCATTCAACTTCGTTGTTTTTTCAAACTTGCAGGAATTCAAAGCTTAAAGAAACAGAGAATTTTTTATCTTCAATTGCATTACCACTTTCATTTTCTATTCTTCTATTGACTAAGAAGATATTAGCTAATATCAATTTGATGATTATGATTGCTATTATTTACTAAGATTTTTTTTATTTATAAAATAGTCTTCTAATATCTAAGAATTTAGCCAACTTCTGGTCTAGATGGACATTAGTTTGTACATCTTATTTTTTTAGAGGGCTTTCTGTTTAACTTCATAACTATTAAGTGCATAACAACTTTTTCCAAGGTGAAGTTTAATCAGATAAAAAATTTACCTTCCTTGCTCCTTAATATCTGCCTTGAGACAGAAGAAGTTGACTTCTTTTTACTTCATCTTCACTTTCAATCGATAAAAGGTCCAAACTCCCCCATTTTGTCATACTCCCCCATTTTGTCATTGTTCATTTCTTCTTACTCAAAAACTTCTTGTGTCTCTCTGTAGCATGGCTTCTTATAATCTTAGTAAACGATTTGATTCTTATTTATCTGTTGGGACTCCTCCTTCTACAATTGATTTTTCCTTACCCTTCCCTTCTTTCACATAGTTTAGATTTTGTTAAGAGAGGACAACTCACTATCCTCCTCAAAACCTTCATCAAATAGTTCAAACTTCATTTAGGTTTGAGCACCTTTAAGGCAAGATTCCAATTCACCAATAAACTTGCCCTTTTCAAGTAGAGACTCTCTGTGGATTTGTCCTTACAACAAGAAATTTGTTAGTCTGGAACTGAACACCTTGTTGCCTAATTAAGAATGGATTTAAGATGCATACACGAATCCCCTTTAATCATTTAAAAAAAGTACTTACTTTAAGTCCTAGGCAGCCATATATGGCAATACATAAAGTGACAGTTAAGTGGAAATGCAGTTAACTAGAAAATTTTAACTTACCAAGGTAGAAACTACTCGATTTTAAGCCTGTGCATTTTTTTACACCACTAAAATTAAATTTGACATTTTGGTACAACTAAGCATGTTATATTATCATCTGCAAAGTGAAAGGTCTGCCCCTTTCCCTTCAGATACAGGTTTTATAAGTCTATTCAATTGTTCTAATGTAAAAACACCAACTGCTCTACAGCCATATGAAGTAGCATACACATCGTTGCAATTTACAATGATAACCATTGGGTAACCCTTCTGCAAAATTAAATCAATTACATGACCAATAGATGTTGAAGCCGTAACACAGGGAGGAGGGCTCCTCATCATTGTTGAAAGTGATGCATCCAACTACATAATAAATTCATCACAGTATTAGATAGCTAGAAGCCAAATCAGAAATTGACAACACATATTTCGAAAAATGTCTATCATTGACAATACATTGATGTATCAATGTCTGTGGCTGTGCTATAATATAAATTATGTTAAAACATAAAACATTTTTGTAACTCAAATGTTGTTTTCTTTAACAAAGCATGAACAAACACAAGCCTTTACTGGCCCAGGACAGAGAGTACATGCATTAGTGTTAGCTTCTCTCCATTTCCATGACTTGAAGAATACGTCAATTAAAGACTGTAGAATGCATATATTTATAGTATAACACTATTTCTTCAAATGATAATCTCAAAAATATACCTGATTGCAGTCTTCGCGGTGCAACAGCCCAGTACAACTTCCCCACTCATCTACAATAGGAACTACCGCATCATTAAAGAAACGTGTTACCACATTCTTCAGCTTTACAGTACCTTGTAGTGGCCGAGTTGCTTCAAATGGTATCATGAAACCCTCGACAGGGTCAGAAGGTGAAACCTAAACCACAAGATTGCATAATAAGACTATACAAGTTCTCTAAGAAAAAAAAGAAGAAACTGCTGAAAAATGCAGCGCAGTGCAATGTAAAACAAACACCCAAAGAACGGAGTCATGGCTATTAGAGTAACACTCATTGTGTAGAATAATTCTCTTTGTAAGCCTTTGTTATAACTGACAGCTGTCAGCTTACCTAATGTAGACCTGCTATTACAGGTCACACAGTTTGCACCTATATAAGCAAACTGTGATCTCTCTTTGTAACTAACTTTTCATAAATCCAAATACAGTTATAACTGAAAATGAAAGTTCTGTTATTGGTTTCTATCATGGTATCAGTTTGTTAAGGTTGATCCATGGCTTCTCCACCGAAAATGCCTTCCGCTTCTGTATCTTCTCCGGCGACGCCGGTCGCGGTTGCGAATGATGAATCGCGCCGCCTTCACTTCTCTCTTAAGATCGCGCACAAGCTTGACGAGAAGAATTTTCACCTCAGGCGTCAACAAGTGGAACCCTACATCACCGCGCACAATCTCACAGATCTTGTTGTCTGTCCGCGAATCCCTTCGCAATTTCTGAGCGATGAAGATCGTCGCAAAGGTACGATCAATCCTGCATACTCTGTTTGGCTTCAGAAAGATCAGCTTCTTCTGTCGTGGCTTCAATCTACGCTCTCGAGGGAAATTCTGTCGCGAGTTCTTGGTTGCTCTCACTCGCATCAACTATGGGATCGTTTGTTCAGCTATTTTCAGAAGCAAACGCGCGCTCGTGCTCGTCAACTTCATGTTGAATTACGTGCCCTAACTCCTGACACAAACTCTGTTTCTGATTATCTGCTGAAAATTCGTATGATTGTGGATTCATTAGCCTCAATTGGAGATCCTGTACCTAACACTCATCACATTGATGTGATTCTTGAAGGTCTCCCTGCTGAATATGCTCCTGTGGTCTCAGTTGTTGAAAGTAAGTTTAGGGAAATGGAGCTAGATGAAGTTGAGATTCTCCTAATTGCACATGAATTGCGTTTAAACAAGTTCAAGAAGCAGCTTGTACCAGACCTTGTTTCTCTCAATCTCACACATGTTTCCCCTCAATCTCCTACACCTGATACTGCTCAATCTGGCAGTACTGATTCCACTCCCACAAATCCCACTGAACCTGATTACTCCATTTTCAGAGGTGGAAGAAGACATAGAGGGGGTCGTGGAGGTAAAGGCAGAGGTGGCAGGAACTCTAATGTCCAATGCCAAGTGTGCTCTAAAGTTGGTCACTCAGCACTCAACTGCTGGCATAGGTTTAATCAGCAATTTCAGCCTCACTCTTACAATGGCAATCCTTATTCTGCAGCTCCTTGGTCTGGTTCTCAAGCATCTTATGGTCAGTTTCCAGTCAACGTGTGGACAAGACAAGCAGCTCCCCAAGTCAGGCCTGCAGTTCCTTTTGCTCCTCCCAGCACCTTCATTGCCAACACTGCACCTTCAACCTCAGCTGCTTCCTGGTATCCAGGCTCATGTGCTTCATTTCATGTTACAAATGATGCTAACAATCTTCAGCAAATCACACCATTTGAGGGTCATGAACAAATCTACATAGGCAATGGGCAAGGTCTAGCCATAAATTGTGCTGGTTCCAGTCAGTTTTACTCTTCTTATCACCCTCACACACCTCTCACGCTTAAAAATCTCTTACATGTTCCATCCATCACTAAGAATCTAATCAGTGTCAGTCAGTTCTGTCGTGACAATCATGTTTATTTTCTTTTCACAGCTGATTCTTGCCTTGTGAAATCTCAGGTGTCTAATGCTATCCTTCTGGCTGGTAAAGTTGGCTCAGATGGCCTCTACGAGTTTCCTCTGCTTGATGTTTCCAAGTCTGCCAAGTCTGCATTTTCAACAAATAAACTTGTACCTAGTGTTAATGCAACTAGTATTTCCCCTGCTTTGTCCAATGTATGGCACTTAAGACTAGGCCATCCCAATATCCACCTTCTGATTTGCAGTCTCTGTTGCCTACATCTGACTTGCCAAAACCTGTGCCTATTACAGTTGCTCCCTTCTCTCCTGCACCTAATGTTGTGTCCCCTAGCTCCTCCACACCATCTGAGTCTCCTGGTTTGTCAAATCAGCCAGGTGCTTCCAGTAACACTACTACAGAACCTGCTTCACCATCTTCTTCCTCTGCTTCACCATCTTCTTCCTCTGAGTGCTTCTCCACAACCTCTTGCATCAACTTCTTCATCTGATGCAGCCTTAGAGTCCTCAGATTCTGTTCCTCACAACGCTGTACCTATTTCTCACAAGCCTATGAATCATCACTCTATGAAAACTAGAGCTAAATCTGGTTTTGCTCAACCAAGGTTGCAGCCTAAGTTGTTACTTACCCATACTGAACCCAAAGCTGTCAAACAGGCTCTTGCAGATGCCAAGTGGAAAGGAGCTATGCAGACAGAATTTGATGCTCTATGCACAAACCAGACTTGATCACTTGTTCCTCTCCCCCCCAACAGACAACCCATTGGGTGCAAGTGGATTTTTCGCATCAAAGGGAATCCAGATGACACTGTTAGCAGGTATAAGGCACGCCTGGTTGCTAAGGGCTTCCATCAGAAGCAGGGCTTTGATTTTAATGAGACATTCTCTCCAGTTGTTAAGCCAATTACCATCAGGCTTATTCTCACTATTGCTCTCACTCAAAATTGGTCCATCCAGCAGCTTGATGTTAACAATGCCTTTCTAAATGGCTTGTTAACTGAAGAAGTATATATGGAATAGCCTCCTGGATTTATTGCCTCCAATCCCTCTCTTGTTTGCAAATTGCACAAAGCCC